CTCTTTACCAAATACTTTCAAAAACCACACAAAGCACAATTTCAAACAAAAGCAAGTGATCTAGCAAGTAACTAAGAGCCCATAGAAAATCATGGATGAAAAGGATGCTTATACCTTCCATTTTCATAACCTACCTCCTGAACTCAAGAAACAATCTCAAAGGTATTTCCTGTGCTTTTTCATCTTTTCTTTTGGATAAAAGAAAAGTCGGTGGCGACTCTTGCTAACCGCAACATTTACGAAAGGATCTCCTATGTTGGAACTGAGGAAGCAGAAGATTATCCTGAATTCGAATTCGAAGAGGTCGAAATCGACCTCGCTGAATTAAAACAGGCACCACCTTACTCCTGCAAATTATTAGTTCCCACAAAAGGGAAAGAGATTGTTGAAAATGAGAAAAGTGACAAATTCCTAAAGAAGGTTTATACCTTCGATGTCACTAAATGTGACGAGATTTTTGATTTACTTGTCAAAGATGGCCAACTCATTGTGCCATCAAATGTTAAAATACCTCCTTTAGATCAAAGAAAGAAGAGAGGATTTTGCAAATATCATAGTTTCCTAGGCCACAAAACCTCACAGTGTTTTCTTTTCAGGGACCTAATTCAGAATGCAATCAAAGATGGCAGACTGAAGTTTGCTGATAAAGCAAAGATGAAAGTGGACGAAGATCCCTTGGACGTCGCAGACACCAACTACTCCGAGCCTGCATGCATTGGAGAGATTAACATGGTGGAAGCTGACCAAATTGATGCCCCAATAGGAGAGAAAGGTACTGAAAACGAAAGTTAGGTGATGGTCGAAGTCGATAAGGAGGTCACTGAAGACGTCCAGAAGCTACCAGAGACTTCGATTGAAGCAGCACCCTTAGTTGTTGCAAAAGAAATCCAGGCTACTGAAGGCCAGGAAAATCAAAACCAAGAATTGACACAGGTCACTGAAGGCCTGAGGCTGGAATTGGAGAAAGTCCAAATCACGAAGCCAACTTCCCCTCAGAAGGAAATATGGGACACTCTAGGGGAACCCAGTGGAAAATTTGACTATTTGGTCAAATATTCTGCCCCAGAGAGTTCGAAGGTTCACATTGAAGATATAAAACCCACAGGATGGGGAGATGATGAAGCTGAAGGGGAAGATGTTGAGGTATTCATGGTTGGTATTTAGAATGTTGTGTAGATGTTTTGACTTATTTCGATTTCTCTCTTAAAGATCTAAAGGTGTAATCAAAATATATGTGCGTGGAACTAAATTGCATGAATAAAGGTTAATTGCAAAGACATGTAAAACTGCATAAAGACAAGTAAATGGCTTCGAATCGTAAAGAAAACAGTTAATGTAAAAGATTCGAAATGTGAAGAAAGCGTTTAATGCAAGAAAACTGTAAAATTGCTTTAAGTGAAAAAGGTGTTCGAAGGGTACAAACTTGAAGATAAAGACATGAAATGTATAACAGTTTCTGAAATGTAAAGTGTCTGAAATGTAAAGAAAGCATTTAAATGTAAGGCATCAATGAAAAGATTTCGAATAAAAAGACTTTAAATGCAAAAACTTGTAAATGGTATTGATACAGAGACAAAGGAAAGTACTGTAAATGATAAAGGGTTTTTATTAAATCATAAACATGTGGTGCTATCATACGTACATTGCTCTTGCATTCGTTTCCCTAGCCATGTGGTAATTTGAATGTTTATTGAGTTTTTTTGTACAAATAGATATGACACACGAAATCCTAATGCTAAGACTTCTATTTATACTACTTCGACCATAACGGTCTTGCTATAAGATTCTGCCACGTTCAGAACATGCAGAGCAATGCCTCTCTCTTGCTTCCATGCGTCTTCGAATGCTCCAGCGCATATATTTCAAATTTCGAACATCCCGCTTGCATTTGAATTTCAAATGTTTTGGCACTTCCTCGCTTCGAACGCATTCCTTAGATACAGCTTTGTTGTCATTTCGAGACTTCTTTGGATATATTCCCATAATTGCCACTCGAAGCTCCAAGCTTTGATATGCTCATTCGAAACACTACTTCTGCTATTTCGAAACATGACGTTTTGTTTTATCTCAATCGAAACGTTCCATTTACTTTGCTTCTAATAATACTATCAAAATCTTCAGCCAACAGTATCACACATGTCTCACTAACTCGTTTCTCTAACACTGGTACTTTGAGTATTTGAGTATATTCTACAAAGATGTGAACACCATGAATCCTAACATCTAAGACTCCTATTTATACTAATTTCGACCCTAACGGTCTTTCTATGAGATTACGCCACGTTCGACACCTTTTACATGCAGACATTATGGCACTTCCACGTGTCTTTCTGGCGAAATGCATTAATTTGAAACTTAAACTTCCCGCTCAAAATTTTTTTGAATTCAACTTTGAATTCAACAAACGTGAGTGTCGAAGTACTTCACATATCTTGAAATATTATTTTCACTTTAAGTTTCCCTTTGACATGTCGAATCATAAAAAATAAGCTTTATAAAAAAATAATCTTATAAGGTCAATTTTCATGTTATTTTTAAAACATGATCCTTTCAAATCAACTTTCATATTTTTATCAAATGTCGAAATCTTCCGCTAACAAGATGATACAAAATGCAAAAATACAAACAGATATAACCGATTTATTACGAATGTATAACTCCAAAAATATATTTCACTAAATTGTAATTGATTACATCCCATATTAATCAATATTATAACCCTTAAATTACTTGATTTTCACACCGCAAATATGAATTAAAATATATTATGAAAATTGGTATCGTTATTTGTTAATGGTGTATTGGTTTTCAACAGTAGGATGTCGGTTCTGGTTAATGGAAGAATTTACGATGTGTAGGGGTTGCATCAGGGAGATCTGTTGTCCCCGTATGTGTTTACCATAGTAGCTGAAGGATTGGCAGGGCTAGTGCAAATGGCGGTGACTAGGGGTGTATTTAAGCAATTTTAAGTAAATTCTGGTATTGGTATCGATCTTTTACAGTTCCCTGACGATTCAATTATAGTTGGGGAAGGTTCGTGGCAGAATCTCTGGGCTATGAAGGCGATATTTAGAGGTTTTGAGATGGCTTCAGGGTTAAGGATTAACCTGTGGAAGAGCAAGTTGTACGGTATTGGGATGAAGATCATTTTTTACAAGCCACGTCTCAATTTATGGCTTGTAATCAAGGTAGGTGTTAATCCGAGGCGGGTGGAATTTTGGAAACCGGTTGTGTCAAGTATCAAAGCCAAATTCTGGACTTGGAAAGGACGATTCTTGTCTATGGGCATAAGGGCAACGTTGATTAATTTTGTGCTCACAAATATTCCAGTATAATATCTTTCTTTTTACAAAGCACCTGTGAAAATTGTCCATGAATTATTAATATTCAGAGAAATTTTTTATGGCAATGGTGTAATGAGAAGTGTGGGATTGCTTGGATAAGTTGGAGTACGGTTTGCAAATCCAAACAGGAAGGGGGCTTGAAATCAAGGATGTTGCGATGTTGAATAAAGCGTTACTTAGTAAATGGGTGTGAAGAGAATGCAATTTGGGTGGGCATTTTGAAGGAAAGATATGGTGACTTAGATAGAAGGTGGTGGTTTAATGATGTGAGTAGAAGGAAGACCAAAGAATAATTGTGGTGGCGTGATTTAATTGGTCTTACGAAGGATACGGATTGAAACAATTATTATCGTTCAGAATCGGGACGGGAATTCCATTCTGTTTTGGACAGGGAGGTGGTTGGGCCAATATTCGTTGGCAACTCTGTTTCCGCTAGTTTACATGGAGGAGGTGAACAAGAATGTGACTGTGGCAGAACAAGGAGAGTGGATCAGTGGTTCATGGTAGTGGGCTGGTTCTTGGAACAGCAGTTCCAGCGCACAAGAGGTTTGAGCTCAAGCGGCTGAGCTTATGGTTGTACTGGAAGATATCAGTCTAGTACCAAACCAGAAAGATTGTGTTATCTGGGCATTTGACGGTGGCGGCCAATTCACGGTTAGATCCTGTTATGATAAATTATTGCAGGGCCAGACGACTGTGCTCAAGGTGTTATGGGAAACTAAGATTCCATCTTAGGCAAAAGTTTTTGGGTGGAGACTTTTAAATGACAGACTTCCGACGAGGAGCCAATTAGCTCGTAGGAACATCATTCATAATCCCCGTGAGTTGGTACGTGTTTTTTTTGTCTTAATCATGGAGAAGATGTGGATCACATAATGGTTCATTGTAACAATGCACTAAAGGTGTGGGATAGAATTCAAACTTGCAAGGACAGTCTTAAGGGGTTGGTGAAGGATAGAATTGAAATGATTGGGCTGGTTGTCTCTTAGTGCATTTGGAAGGAAAGAAATGATTTCATGTTTAATGGAGGTTTATGAGATGTGGAGAATATAGTTTTCAAAGTGAAATCTTTTTCTTGGTGGTGGTTGCCCATAGGATCTAAATGTAGAGTAAGTTGTAATTTTTATGAGTGATGAAAATGTCCTCTTGATTTCTTAAAATAGACTGTGGTTTGAGTCGATTTCGGATCCGTCTTTGTGTTTGGGTTAGAGTACCTCTGATACTTTTATTTGAATAAGTAACTTATCTAAAAAAAATTAATGATGTACTATCATCAATGTCATTTTCATTACATTATTACTATATGGAATCAGATTCACTGACTTTGCTACAGTAAAGTCACGGTAACTTTAGTATTAATTAGGCTGTTTTTTGAAAAATAAAATAAATAACAAATGAAAGATAAGATGAGAGAGAAGGGAAAACAGAAGAGAGATAGAGGTAAAGTTATGGTAACTTTGCCGCCACAAAGTCACTGAAACGTGACCCATTACTATATATGAGGCAACAACAGACAAATCTCCTATAAGACAATAAGGGCATCAGTATTAAATGCCACAATAATTGCTTACGAATACAAGAGTTATTTGCTAATTGATTGCTATTTGCTAATGAATTCATTGAATGCAACTACTTTTACTTCGTAACTGATTCTTAATGAATGCACTTTCTAACACTAGCATACATGAGCTTCAATTTGGTAGATTTATCATCATGCTAATGCACATTCACAGCACCAAAAAGGAGGGAAAAAAAGAACTAATTAATAAGTGCAAACATCATTTATCAACATCCTTTTACAACAAACAGTCCAAAAAACAAACATCCTTTTACAACAAAATCCGTATGGTAGCTACAAACTTTTACAAGACACTAACTTATGTTAATTTACACACAAGGAAAATACAGAAGAACTTCCTTCTGTTACTATGTGATAGGAATGCTACATTATTTTTATCAACAAAAATCAATGGTTGAATAATACAAAGTAAGACCAAAGAAACTTAACACTAAGGACTAAGGAATCAAACAAAAAATACAGTATTTCCTTTTTCTCCATCTATTGCTGGTATGGACAGACAATTTTCCAATATAATTTGTCTGGAAATATGTCTTCCACTGCGCGAAGCAAGCAACTATCTTCAATGTTCAATTATTCGTCGGGGCAACATTTCAACACACCTCACAAGATGCTTCATATGCTGTAACTATGGAAAATTTCCATGACATTGGTAGAATTAACCAAGACGGATAGGGGTATAAATTGTTAGCAACCATTTACATCACACTGCAGCGAGAAACAAGGAACGTTAGAATGTTAGACTGTGTGATGCAAGGCTTGGCTTGAAGTTGTTTAAATAAATTAAGGGTTATTACCTGCACCTAGTTTAATGTTCTTTCTAATGTGTTGTGACTAGGACCACTGTTGTAGGTAAAATAGTGAAAACTGAGCCACTGCAAATGGCTGATCACACAAACGATCAAGTTCACATCATCTGAGGCAAAGCCTGTGAACGTGGCTTTGATCTCATGATTGTTTCATCACTGTGTCGAATTCGCTCAGAAAGTCTCCACGGCTTCTGCCACTTCCATTTGAATTGTAGTAGCCACCGATGATGGCTCCTTTTCCACCTCCATAGCTTGCCAGAAGCCTGTCCGACAATTGCTAGCTTTTTCATTGACAGTTGCCCAATGGGTACCATCTGCATTCATAGCAAATCTCACGCTTAGACCAATTAAAAAGACATACCAATTAATAAAAGTGGAGAATGAATTACCCTTCTACTTTGATCTATGAATGCCGCTGATTCCCTCGTTTGACCATTAGCAATGCCTGGTGTATATTTGAGCTGTTTCGATGCCGGCACAGACTCAGGAGATAAAGGTTCCTTGATGTCTTCAACATAGTGCTTCAGTGAATTTGGGGGGTTTCCCTATTGAAATCAAGTTGTTAGTTTTGAATTCGTAGGTTTATTTTCTTTTGAATCTTATGCAGACAAGATCTTACGGAAGCTGGCTTGGCCAATGTGGTTGCAACATCTTGCTCTCTCACTTTTAGTTCCTTCTCAACTTCCTTTCTCTTGATCTCACTTTGCCGTAATAGACCTACAAGTTCCCTGATTTGATCTTTCATTTCTCTTATCTCCATATCTTTCTCCCACAGTTGACACCTGTAGTTAACAGCATCTCTTACATCAAATTTAACAGTATATAAAAGCACATTTATCTCGTCCCTAGAAAAAGACCAAGAGAACAAAGTTTAAAATATTTGGGGGCTAAAGAAAGTACCTCGTGTCTGCAAGAGAATTAAACATATATTGAAGCAAAACCTTGGCTTCTCCCATTGAGCGCAACTGGTTCCAGTGTCCACGGTTACTGAAGGCCCTGTCTCGTTCTTCTGCTTCAGATAGTTGAGAAGCCATTGCCACAAGTGAATTAGATGATATGCTCAGCATGTTCTCCAGTGAAGCTATTCTGGCCATTCTTGCATTCAGTGACATGGAGAATGCTCTGAGAAGAGTTAAAACCAAGAAGAAAGAGAGAGATGTTATCCTTTTATATTCCACGCGTTATTATTTGAAAGAGAGAATATGTTCAAAAAGTGAAATGCAGACCTAGCAAATCCGTTCTTCCCCCTTGGAGGACTGAGACCATTAGCAGCAAATTCGTTTACTTGTTTCAGCATCGCTAGCTCCTCTCCAAGAGCAGCTCGCCTGAAGATTGTGCTTCATAATTAAATATCGCAATACAATTAAATCAATAAGAAACATGAATTAGAAATATGTGTTGCATACACTTGGCTCTGCTTCTCATATTCAAAACGAACTTCATGCTCTTTTACCATGACTTCTAGCTCGTGATCAAGCCACCGTTGCAAGGATTTTTCATTACTCTAAAGAATAAACTCAATAAGTCACTTACTTAGAAGTTATTATGGATAATCAACAAAATCTTAGAAGAGGAAGGAAAGTCTGTTACCTGTTTATTTGCTCCACTCCCGTTAACTGCAATTAGAAGATGAAATACAATTAGAATATTAAGAGACAGGAGATTTAATGCACCGAAACACTCATGATATATTCACTATAAGACGGTTCCCGGTGTAATTATCCACTAAACAAGTAGTACCTGAAGTGTCTCGGCTGCAAGACTTACGAGCTTCTAACAATTCCTTTAACCTCTTGGTGGCCATTGCAGCTTCCTCAGTCTTTCGCTGAAGGACCTGAAGAAATATTCAGTTGTGTATAAATTTACAGTTACAAATATCAGTCTTTACCACAAAAATAAAAAATAACATTGATGTTTGGTGTTTCTCTAAACCTTTCCTTCTTTTTCTAAAATATTATGCATGTTCTGTACAAAAAATAGATGCATTGTCTCAAAATAAGGTTGCCTCCCAACAAGTTTACAATAATCACCATTTTCTGGCGCTGATTTAGAGCTTGCAGCTTATGCCTTTCAAACTCGTTTCTTCTTCCTTCCTTCTTTAACTGTTTAGAAAACATATAGTTAATACAGGGTCAAAGAGCACATATGCAAGGAAGTGAAAAATAAAGCTCAGGAGCATCAAGGATCAACGAAACGAAAAAATAAATAAAAACGAGGAGGGTTAACATACTTGAAGCAGCTCTTTCTCTCTAGAGGCTTTCCACTGCCGAAACTGTTCTGCTTCTTGTTTTATTTTTTGTTGCAATTGAACCTGACAACAGTATTCAACTTAGAATGTAGAGTAATGGTAACTATGGATTTAAGAAAGAACAAAAATCAACCTTTTGGGCTTTGATAGATTGTATTTCATCTTGCAAGCGCTTCGTTGCTTCATCACTTTTTTGCTTTTGCTTTAGAAGCTGAACCTGGCTCTCCTGTTTCTTCTTGAGGTCCAGAATCTGGCGTTTATATATTTCGAAAAGCTTTTAGTAATTACGATTTGTTCTGATTCGATTCAAGTAAAAGGAAGAACAAACTGTAATGGAAAACCTATTTTACCTGAGCTTCAAGTGCTTTCAATTTTTGGGCATGGATATCATCTGACCTGTGTGTTTGTCCATCGGAACCGGCAGCAAGATTTTCAACTTCAGCTAAAAGACGATCCCTATCTTGCTGCATCGCAATTGAGGTGTATATATGAATATTAATTTTCGGAATGAGTAAAATAACTTTTGAAGAATTTCTATTGTACCTGGACAGTTCTCTTCTCATCCTCAAGTTCCACGATCTTCCTTCCAAAGTGCTGCTTGAGTGTTTCAGCATCCGATGATCCAAATAGCTTCATCTCAGACTGTACGAGTATCAATCCGAATACATATGTCAATGAAATGAGAGACAAAAACCACTTGATGTTGCTTTCATGATTATATGTCATGAATGGTGAATGTGCTCAATTATACATATGCATTAAAACAACCTCTTTCTGCTCCAAGCGTTTGTTCAATTCGTGTAACTCTCTGTCCATACTATTTTGTAGAAGTGTATGCTCCCATTCTTTAGCAACTTCTTCAATTTCCCTTGAATCCCCTGATGAAATCGGTAATTTTAACAATGAATCATAAAAGTTTTAAGAATCATACTTGACTAAATTTAAGAAATGGAAAGTAAAGTGATAGAGAAAGATCAATAAAATCCAGGTTAAAGAACAGTCTTACCCGTTGTTTCACTCATTGGATAATCAAGAGTTGTGATCGGTAAGCCCCTTTTAAGCCCATCTGTCTTTACATTGCACATGCTACCGTCCTGAAAAATGAAAGTTTGAAACTTAATGTAAAGCACATATCTAGGCACTGAAAAATTGAGAAGAAAAGTTCAGAAAAAGAAGATTAACAACAGAAGGATCAGAGGCATACATAAGCATCCTTTTCACTTTGTGCCACAACCGAGCATCTGCTACGATATTCATGAAGTTCACGGCAAAGATCTTCATTAGCTGCTTCAAGCCAAGAAATTCTTTCCTTGAGGACCTACATAACCATATATAAAATGATTCGATATTACTCAATGTCCATTCAATGCAACCACTTACCTATTATAGAAAAACATTAAAATTAATGAAGACTTCAAAAATAGAAACAAAGTACCTGAACCTCCTTGGACGAGCCACCAGAACGAGTACAAAGTTCTGCTTGCAAATGCTCTAGTTGTTGTCGCATTTTAAGCATCTCATTGGACATTGGATCTCTATTGACCTATGGAAGAATAAACAAACCATGAGAATCGATGTATCATACATAGCCGACCAATTGTTTCAATTTTTTCAGATGAATGAAAGAGAACATAAAGTTTATGCAGATACTCACAACAGGCTTATTTTGGATATTGCGTGCACGATTTGCATACTTCAAAGTGTTAAGGGTTTCCTCAGCATTGATATCGGCAGGACTTATGCAAGCTGCAACAGAAATGACTTTTCATGAACTAAAAAAATATTATGCAACAAACTGATTGTCTAAGATTAAAGGAAAACAGCCAACCTATCATAACAGTTCTGCTGTTACCACCAAGTGAATCCTGCAAAATCATTTAAATTTACTTTTAAATACAAAATCAAAAAATAAAATAATACTATGTACTATGAATGAGTATTTTCTGCAAGAATGATAAATAGATAACGTCAAATCAAACCTGTAAAAGCCTAGTAAGTTTACTATCCCTATAAGGAACATGAGCGCCTTCTTTTCTCTTTTTTTCATCACCAAGTGCACTAATCACATTGCCAAGTGCTAGTAGGCCTTTGTTAATGTGAACTCCTGTTTCAAAGAGAAAATTATTAGCGAATACGTTATGATCCAAAGATTGTTTGGAAGGTGTAAGTGAGAAACACAACCACCTAACCTTCTTTAAAACGCAAACCATCAGACCCTGTTCGTTTAGCTCGTTCTGATCCAGCAAGGTCTACTAAGTGCAACTTGGCACAAAGATACTCTTCGTTCATAGTATCATTTAAACCAATCTCACTAGGATTGTTGAGCTTCCGCATCTGCTCTAATGTGATGGTGAAGATGGCATGTGAACGACTAATTGAATATATTTATCCACAATTAGTTTATGAAACCGAAAATGGGATGAAAAAACGTTTCATGATTAAAAGTGAATGTATGCGGTTAAAAGAAGAGAAGAAAATGGATAAGCAACCTGGATTGGTTGTTCATATTTGTGCTCCCAGTTGCTCTACTTAGCGATCCTTGTTCTAGGCAAGCAGACATTTCTTTTAGTGTTGCAACACTGACTTCAGTAGATCCAGCTAAGGTAATGACGCCATTCGAAGCCTCACGAATTTGTATAGGCGGTTTACCAGGAATAGGCGCTTTCCCTGCATGTCCATTTGCAGTTTCTGGTTTGCTCATAGAGGACGGGTCCAGCAAATCTCTTACTTCTTCTTTAAGAATCTTTTAACAATTAAAATTTGGTATTAGATATTAAAGCATGATTAAACTTTTTCTACCAAAAAAAAACACAATTATTATACTTTCAAAACACAGATGTAGGATGTAACAAAGTTATCAACGGACCTCGATAAAGGAAACATGCAGCTGAAATTCGATTTGATGCTTTAAGGTCTCGATTTTACTAAACAAAACACTCATAACTTGGGGTACTATTCCTGTTTGATAATAATCTTTAGAGCCAGTGCCCATTGTGTATGTTTTCCCAGAACCTGTCTGCAATACAGAGAAAATGTCATGTACCAGAGAGAAATAAGGAGTAACATGCAGTTTATGGGCATGTTTGAATTAACTTATTTGAGCTTATCTACTGGTATAAGCATTTGTGAGACTGATTAAGAGAATTTAAGCTTTCAACTTACTTTCATAAGCTCTTCGTTATATTTTATGGAAAAAACTTACAGCTTATATGAAAACAGCTTGACTTTATTTTTTACTTTGATTATAGAAATAGTTCAGACATAAGCTTTTATTCAAACAGGGACTCAAATTATCCAAACAGGACCTATATTCCTTTCAGCTGTAACTGTACCTGACCATACGCGAGAACCGTGGCATTATACCCTTGGAACAGACCTCCAACAAGGGAAGCAACACATTCATCAAACATGGCAGATGAGGGAGAACCAGTACTCCCATAAACATGATCAAATGTAAAGGAATGAGCGCCAATTTGTACCTGCATCATAGTAACAATTAGCACATGCAAAAATTTCAGGTACTCAATGATACTATTATGACAAGATACAATTCAGAGGAAGGTGTTCAAAGATTTAACATAAACATTTTAAGTTCAAGAACAAAACTTCTTTAAAAGAAACGAGCTTTAATCTAAAATCATTTCAATTCATGAAATGGCTTTTTTCCCCAATTCTTAAGTTGAAGCATTGCAAACACTTCACTAATATCTTCTCCCAACCCAAACAAAAATAGAATGAAGTCATGGTCTATTTAAATTGACTTATTCCAGCTTATCAATTCTCGTAAAACACTTTGATAGAGTTTATGAAAACAACTTATGACATACCCAGAAGAGCTTATTTCCATAAGCTCTTAAGAATAACTTCTAAAAACAGCTCATAGTTATAAAAACAAAAGTCCTTAATTAAGCTGTTTGTCCAAACAGGGACTCAAATATCCCAATCAAAATGACCCAAAAACATAATATCCCAATCAAGTAACAATCATCACATGACCAAAAAAAAAAAAATCAAAATTTCTAAAATAGTTTGGTTCAACACAATCAATCTTGCTCAACTACGCAATAATTCTCGGATCCAGATCTCCACTAAATTCAGCAATCAAAATCACCATAAAAAGCAATCAGAAAATGCACCTGAGGCTTCCCAGAAACAACAGTTACACAATCTTTACACCCCTGAACCTTCTCATCATTGATTAACGGCCGAACATGAACCGCAACTTTGACACAACAATCCTCCCCAGCTTCCATCACAAATCACAAACAATGTGAGTGAGAGAGAAAAAGAATAAGGTAAAATGTCGAGAGCGAATTGCGAAGAGAAAATCAAAAAGCTTGCAGCAGAATGGTTCCTCTCATGGTTTGTTTGTTGAAGTAACTGTGAGAAGAGAAGAGGAGAGAGAGTAGTTATAGTTGGAGGAGAGAGAAAGGGAAAGGGTAGTTATGGAAATATGGTATTTGAGGTTACTAACTGTAAGGACAACAACAACCACTATCATTTTTTCTTTGCCTTCACTGTAATGTACTTTTCCAGACGGTTGCGTGCTCTTACTCTTTCGACACTTTCTTTCCCAAATTGCCCCTACCCTTTTTCACAACAGTTATGCTCTGAGATGGGAAAGATCTCTTTCGGAAAACAGATACCCGCGGTAATTCAAGTTCATTAACTGCTTAAGTGTATATAATATTTTATTTAATTAATATCATGTTACACAACTATGATAGTAGAAAATAGTTAATAAATATAATTTGGTTAGATTAATTTTTTTTTAGAAAGTTAAAATAAAGAAAAGAAAAGAAAGTCAATGCAATGTTAATTCCAATTGCAAGGATGTTAATCAATTTTGGAGGATGAGAGTTATGAATCATGATATCAACGTTAATAGATGCATTGGATTTTATTTTAAAATTCATATTTTAATTATCTTCACAGAGACGAAATGGTTGTCTGTGTTCCCTGTTTGAGGTTTACTAAAAAAAATGTAAAAGGAGCAATGCCATGGAGTGGGTAGCCAAGGAGAGTTGATGCATGGGGATGGTTTCATGTGATATGCATGTAAAATTATGATTTCTCCAAGCCCACTATACCATTGCGACAAAGAGGTTATAACGACTACCACGACTCTCGTTTTTTATTCAAGCATTTTCATCATAAGTTAAGAAAAATCTCGTTAATTAAACTCAAGGATCAATCAAAGATTTCTAGAATCCCTACAATCACGAACAAACTGAAGAAAAAAAATAATCTTCTTCTAGTCTACATATGGAACATATAGCTAGAGGACTGTGTTGTGATAGTGAAGCAGAGAAGGTCTAAGAACATAGTTGTAACAAGCAAGAAAAAAAAGGAACTTCATCTTTATAGGAATGCATAGTTTCTAAATCCAGTTCCAAGGTTGAGGTTCTGAATTAGGATCATGTAAATCTTCTTTGTTTAAGAGAATCTAATTTTAGTCACTCTTAGTAGTGTAAGATCCACTTGTATGATCAGACCAAATGAACGCATCTTCTATAATGGGATTGAAGTTAAGATATTTGGTGGTGATCTAAGTGATGATATTATGAGGGAACTGAGTATATAAGTGGCGGATGTGGGACAATGTCGTAAAGTAGAATCTTTTAACTACTAGATTAATATCATGGATTAAACATACTTAATAAGAGCTTCCAAAGGATAAATATAAGTCTAATGGTTGTACTAGAAATAAGAGGAGTTAGATCTATGTCTCCAGTCGAACTTTGCTTTGACAATAGAATTTTAGGTGGAGCAACCTGCAGTGGTAGAAAGGGAGAGTAAACAGACACTAGATAAATACTTTTGAGAGAGACGACATACCAAAAATTTATCACATTTTAAAGCATATTACAAACAAAAATTTACCAAGCAGAATTGTTGGCATCTATAGTTAATTGAACCCATATGACATGTAACCTCCTTGGGTGTTTGATGTATTTCTAGCCAATCAAATGATTACATATGGTGTTAGTACCTTTCCAAATAATGGTATGAGTCATACGGTCAATGGTGTTACAAATGTTTTGTGAGACTCGTGTGCTTTGTATAGGGAAAAGGGATGGAGGTGAAAAATAATGTAGCAATGGATAATCTACAAGACTTGCTAAGAAGCTTTCTTTTCTAGGAACATTTGTGTTCGTGTTTTCCCATGATGAAGTTGAAATTAGATCTTTTAGCTCTACCTCTAAGAATAAGAAAACTAAGGTAGTTATCCAAAAAGTAGTATTCTGGATGTCTGAGATTGTAGTCAATTAATTGATTTTTTTCTTAGGGATGTCAAAAGAGTAGAAATAATGAGACTTAGAAAGATTGGTCTTTATACCTGATGCATGGCCAAATCTGTCCATGAGTGTGGAAATAACTCAAATTTGAGACTTCTTTGCTTTTGAAATAATAGAATGGCATCTACAAAGAGAAGATGTGACATATGAAGCACATTGTTAGAGATTAAAATAGGATTCCAAGAATCACTAAGAATATCATAGGTGATGGTAATAGAAAGTTTTTTTCCATACATATGATGAAAATATAAGGCGAAAACAAATCCCCTTATCAAAGACTGTGGTAAGGCTTGAAGGTTGGAATTCATTCCATAAAATAGCTAAAGATGAGGAGGTAATGCAATGCATAATGAGTTAAATGGTGATCTGAAGAAATCCAAACTCCAACAAGCAGCTTATGGACACAAAGCAACTTTAAACAAGGTTATTTTAAAACTCTTTACATAAACATTGTATCAAGATATAATTGGATTCATGATACTTCAATAAGATTGATACACGACAAATATAAGCTTATACATTAAATCTCTATAAGCAAAGTCTAACTTATATGACATACAATCAATACAATAATGCACTAATGCAATAGAAAAATTAATGAATAATAAAAAATTAAAAAAGGATAAGGGAAGAAGAAAATATACACAGAGATATATATAATGGTTTGGCGTTCGTCCTCGCTTTGCCTACTTGTTAAAGCGGTAAAGCGACAAGCAACAAAATTTTTGGAAATATTTATCTGGGAATTTATCGTGTCCACAAAGATTAGTGAATTGAAATATCGTTCGACAAATCTATTATTAATGAGTTAGGGAGTTGAGTGAGTTGTATGGAAAAGGTATCAACAAAAAATAAATGTAAACAAAAACTATAAAGGATAGACAACTTATCCAGTATGAATTTACACTATTCGTCACAAACTTAAACCTATTGATCAGTTGAAATCAACCTACTGTACTCATCAAAATCATCATGGACACCACGAGATGTACCCACAACGAAGGTTATGTCTAACGCCAAGTCGCGAGATCAATTGTATTACTCTATCGGCAATGTCTTACGTGCTACAATAACACGGAAGCATTAAGCTTTAGCACCCAAAGTAAATATTAGCTCTAAATCTATCTCTAGAATCTAAAAACTAATAGATATTCATCCCTAATCAAGATTTGTGAGGTATATGTCTATAACAACCCAAATCCAAACATAAAGTAAAAAGATTAAAGAAGACATCAAGATTGATTTGTAAAGCAAACTTTATACAACACCATGATCAACAAATATACATGTGTTCAAAGTAAATATACAAATAATACCCAACAAAATAGAAATACAAAGAGGGGAGAAGAGATAAACCACAAATGTTTCGATTTGTCAGCGTCGGTCGAAGATAAATCCACTTCCAATCATCCATAAGCAAGGCCCTAATGTTGTTTTCTAAGCTAATCTATCAAAAAAATGAAGGTTTGATGTGTTGAGAACAAATACCCCAAAACAACACCTAAAAAATGCGTATTTTTTTCCATTTTAACGCAATTCTGTCCAGGGACCGCGCTAAGCACGCTCTACTGTCATGAGAAAAAATTAACTTTTTATTTACGCCATAACTTGAGAACTGTAACTCTGATTTACGCCCGGTTCGAAGTATTGGAAAGCTTATTCAATTATCTATTTAATAATGTCTAAATATCAACCAAATTAATGATTTCTTGTTCTTTGATTTTGAGCTTTATTTATTGACGAGTTGCTCAAAATCATGTGTTTGAAGCCGTGTATTCAACATTTTATTTCTCATGCTCTAAATACGCATCAATACCTATAAAATGAATGGAAAACTATCAAACGATACACAAATACATAAAAACTCGATTAAATATAATTTATACATGATTATACAAAAGTGGAGAATTATTCAACGATATTAACAATAAAAAGTTGATAAGTGCAACAAAAAGTATATAGAAAAATAGCTACAATTTGCACTTATCAAACTCTCCCCAACTTGAACTTGTTTGTCCTTAAACAAAGCCAAATAACTCAAAGGACCAAAAGTAATCAACCAAAATATCATGATTCAACAAGTTTTGAAAACAGAAAATAAATGCAATGGTTCAAATGAAAAACGATACACACAGAGAAATATACTTACCACTAAACTACGAAGATAACATAAACACGAAATCAATGCTAAATACAAAGAATATGCCAAATATTCTAAAACAACACTAGCTCACAAATGAATTATACCTAACAAAAACAATTATCGATAGATAAAAAACACACAAAATAAGGTATTTTCACTCATCCACAATCTTGCAAATAAAAGACTAAATTATGCATTCATCCAAAAACTCATATTGAAAATACAAAGGCAAGAATCTCAAGAGTTTTTCAAGGTTGTAATGTAGCTTGGTTAACAAACAAGGGATAAGTCCTAAAGCTAATCGAAACAAAAACTTGTCTTAACCTAAGGGAGTGATAAACTCACAAAGGCTCAAGCAAAATAATTACAATCAAACTTCTTCTTCATTCCAAATTTCAAACCAACACACATCACTTATTAGCACTATTATTCGAACTCTTTTTGTTTTTCTTTTTCAAAGCTTTTTTCAATTTTTTTTCTTTCTATTTCTTTTCACTTCTTTTTCACATTTTTTTCTTCTTTTTCTTTCTTTTACAACCTCAAATAGCAATCAACAACATAAGTGAGCAAACAAATATCTCCCCAACTTGAATTCAACCATATCATAATGTGAATACTCTCTACTTTCTAAGGCAAGGTAAAAATTCAAACTATAACTCATAGTTAAAGGTTCAAGAAAACAAAGAATCAATATCCATACAAAAATGAACCAAACACTCATAGATAAACATTTAGCAAAAATAACATGGATATCGATAAAAAGAGTCAAAAAGGGTTACTAATAATCACACACTCACAAGGTAAATTGACT